TCTGTGACTCCCTGTTGGATTATTAAAGACTCTCGTTTTGTGAAATTTCCACATATCCTAATTTCCTCGTTCCCGTGCTCCAGCGAATTGTGACAATGTGCTTATTATTTATGTATGATTATTATATATTAGTTATTATTTGTTTACAATTAATTATGTATAATTATTATTTATAATAATTGTTATTATTATTATTATTATTATTGCTACTACTACTACTTCTATATAAGCCCAGTTAATAATGTTAAATGATGCTTATATTATGCATAACTATATACACACATTTTATGCATAATACATGTATCATTTTAATGTTATTATATGGATTTACGCAAAGATGATTAAGTAATGAATTCTTGGGTTAACTATCCCTTTAGGATAAAAAAAAGAATGTATTTTGCGCTAAACTGACAGAATTCACAGTCAGAGCAAATTAATTCTGGTTGGAATAAATCTCCACAGAGCAAGCCCAACAGAATGTGGGCACAAAAAATGGATGAGAACAGCAACTGGTGGTGGAGATCAGAGGACAAAAAGCATTTTGGAACATTTCGTCCCTCTCCCATCACTGACCTGTCTGAGATCACAGTGGCCAGTGCAGATCTGAAGCAGTGTCGAGCTTCTCAGCTCTCAGTCATATTCCTAAAAGTACTGGGTTGATAATGTCACTGTACTATAGAAGAACAGGAAGTAGTGGGTTGCCATCCAGAAGGTCGGGAGTTTGAGCATCGCTGCCGGCATGCTAGTTCTGTGACGTCTCATTGAGATGGCCACTGTGTACCGCTAGCGTGCCCTTAAGCAAACCACTTAAACCATTTCATTTCTGCTCCAGGAGACGAGCCTTATTCTGCAGCCTGACCTCTCTGATGGATAGAGACTCAGCATCTTTCACCCAAGACACCACAACATCCTGTCCAAAGATAACAAATAAACATGAGCGCGTGATGGACTGCATCTTTGCCCTAGATATGAGTTGTTTAGAATCCACTGTCCACAGTCAAGCCTTTAAACATTGTTCCAATAGAATGCTCATGATTCCGAATGGAATTAAAAATGGCCTTTGCAGAGGAATTAAAACTAGTTGGCCTGTAACTTTATTACAAAATCCAACATAATAAGCGGTTTTTCATAAATGAATAAATAATCAATAATTATTTTTATAAATGTAAACGAGACAAAAACTGTGACATAAGATTTGTATTTATTTATTAATAAATACATACATACTACATGACTTTTCATTATAAATAAATATTTATAAAAAATAATGTAAAGCAAACAGAAACAGCAACATAACATCACTACTAAATGTTTTTAATAAATAAATAAATACGTCCTTACAAAATTAGTGTAAAAAAACATCTCATGCATAGTAAGAAATATTAATGTATTTAATATTTCGTACCCTGCTTATATCACACACTGTTATTTACCAACCTGAATTTATCTGCTGTAATTTCATCCACTCAATGTGTTCATGATAATGTGTGGTCTAATGAGACAATGATCAAAGGAACACGTGTTTATGTGCGACATTTTTTTCTCTGAGAAAGGAAAAGGTCACTTTCACTCGTCTTCACATAACATTAATAGAGATCCTATTAGAGGCACTGGACTAACATTACTGGGGTTGTGGGAGCACTGATTGTGTGCTAGATTAAAAAAATAAATGATAGACTGCAATGAACAGCCCTCTACACCCTGTCCTAACAATATACAAGTGAATACATAATGCCATACAATGGAGATGTTCTAGAAACCCTAAAATGTTACACCTGGGTCACTGAAATTAAAATCGCAATGAGGGTCAGTTGGACAGCTTGGTGCCTGATGTACTCTATTTGGTGCTTAATGATAGAAAATTGTTTTACAGTGTATTTATTCATAATCAAAATATATTAATGTCTAAATGACATATCACTAATCATATTATGTTGGTGGCAGTAGCCTAGTAGGCAGTGTGCCAACATATAGCGCCATTGCACTTCAGGCGTCCCGAGTTTGAGTCTTGGCTCGCGGATCTTTTTCCGATTAACCATGGTTTTTCTACACTAACCATAGTTTAATCATGGTATTTGTAGTAAAACTGTTGTTATACAAATGGTAATCAATCGACCACAAAAACATGGTTACTACACTTTTACTATAATAAAACCATGGTTAATTTTTGTAAGGGACACACATAGCCTACATCACAGAGATGTCTATTTGATTTTAAAGATATATATTTTTAGAGTATTTGCTCATCTGCAATATCTTTTGTCTCTAAGATGTCAAATTATTTCCCTTTGTTTGTTTTCAGTTAGCCTTCAGTTAGCAAGCTAACAGCTTGGCCTGCTAGCTTAGGAAAACACAAACAGGTCAATAAAAACTATTTTGATCAGCTTGAACAAGATATGCACATGTAATGGACATGTTTATGATCACGCACTGGAAAAGGGGGATATTCTGATAGGATCTTGTGGGAGGTTTTGAGATGAGAACCACTAGGGTACAAGCACATATCGTAGCATAGCTAAAGATAAGAGACAGTCTGGTGAACTCACTGAAACCCATTCTGAAGCCTCATTATAGCGAAGCTAAACATGATTTTGTGTATTCGGATTGATTGTTCCTTTTTGAACATCTGATGAAACTTACATCAGAACGTCATTTGTATCACTGCCCTTGTCTGGGTGCAATTTCTGTCTTTTTTACAAGCTCAAAGACATTCATGTCATTGCTGATAACGACAAGAAAGAATATTTTGTGCATGACTGCCTGATTACCTGATTTTATTCATCAAATTATTCATTAAAATGATGCAGGCTGCATTTATGATATTCAGCCTCACTGAATTTATCCCCAAGTCTTTGCCTCAGAGGCAGGCACACAGACACACACACACACACAAGCACAGTTTTTAGAGGTTATGTATATGGATTACATCAGACACTTACTCAATTTCTGAATCAGATGCTTTGCTCACTGAGTCCTATAATGAAAGAGGATATTTTAGTCCTTTGGCAGAATACAATGTCTCAAATTTGTGTTCTTTTGACAGGCAAATATTACAGATAACAGCGGATCATGACCTTCTGAAGGAATTTGACTTGAGGACATCAGATCTTTTATACAGATCTATTCATATTTGCTACTCTGTATCATCCAGCCTGTCTCTCTAAATACTCTCTGTCTATATTAAAGTACACGTGTCCCCAGTATTCTTTGTCACATTTCCTCATAATTACCAAAATGCTGCTTTGATTTTATATTTTACAGCTTATATCTCCCTATGCTGCTATCAGCTGCCACGTTCATGGATCTATTAACGTCCCTTATATCCCCTCCAAAAGAATCGAATAGAGCCATCAATTCCCTCCCCATTTACAGCACTCATTGCTTCATTATTATTTGATAGTATGTGATTTTGATCTTTTTCTACAAGACAATGATTATGAGCTTCAGACCCCAGAGGCTGTGAGGAATGGAAATGGCACATGCCAATGCATGTGAATATCTGGGTAACAGGTAGTTAGTTCAGAAGTGTGAGACATCTTTGAGATTAAATCAAACAAAGCTGAGGTTTTTTTTTTCTCTTTTGATGGCAATTCTACTAAATACTTACTTAAAAATAGGGATGCATGATAATCTGCCAATATTTGTATTTTTTGAAATTACTGATCCATATTGGATTTTTAATTGTGCTCTTTCCCCTTGCTTTTACATTTAGATTACCCTTGCCATCATCTAACACTCTAAAAGCACTTATAATACATGTAATCTTTAGCAAATCTCAAAATTAATATCCATTCATTCACTGTGCTTTATAATGCTGCAAAGCCTAAATTGATTTCAAGCATTTAACACTTTAGTTTTTAGTGTTTAATTTTTTTATTTATAGACAAATTTGTATATAATTGTAATATCAGCCATAACATTAAAGTAATTATCAGCTTATCTACCAGAATTTTAACATAAGTGCATTCCGTATCATTGATCCTGATGATCTAATATCATTACTCAGTGTTAGGTTTAATGTTTTATTCTTCATTTATTTAGACAAAATAGTATATAATTTTAATATTGGCCATAACATGAAAGTAATTATTGGCTAGAAATGTAATATCGTTGTGTTCCTATTTATTCCTATTCCTAATAAAACAGCTTAATATCAGCCATAATGTGAAAATTATCAGTAAGAATTTTAATTTCGGTGCATTGGTGAAAGTATTTTGATTACGTAATGTCGTTACTAGTTTTACTTTCCGTTATTTAGACAAAGTAGCTTAGAATTTTAATATTGAACTTAAAAATATTTATTGACCACAATTTTAACATCAGTGTGTCCCTAATTATGTATTCTGATTACGTAACGTCATTACTAGTATTCTGTGACTCCCAAGCCTGCTCCTGAAGTAGGTTGAGATGTCTTTATTTGTTAAACTGAGCATTCACACTCTCCCCACTGTAGTTTCCTGTCACGTCTCATTTAAGATGTAAATTAACAGTACATTTTATAATACAATAAGAAATACCAAAAAATAAGTTAAATGTTCATTGGCCAGGGGACTTTGGCCAATAATATCCACAAACAAGCCTGTAGGGGCTTTAAAATTTCACGTGATCTTGATCTTGATCTTGATCTTGATGTGTGTGTGTGTGTGTGTGTGTGTCTGTCTGTCTGTCTGTCTGTCTGTCTGTCTGTCTGTCTGTCTGTCAGTGTAAACGTGGCCACAGCTTGCTATAGATGCATTCTGACAGGAAATCGAGGAAGACATGCTGACTGTCAACACTTGACTGCCAACATAACAAAATAAGGTCATAATTACCTGTTGAAGCAGTTCATTGTGCTTATAAAGTGTATCAGGACCAACTCCATCACCAATCTACTCTAAACATAAGAGCAGCTCTCCATTAGGTATTCTCTGCTGTTCACTTGGGGGGGAACTACACTTCACAGCTTAAGCGGAACCAAGCAACTGTTGGTTCAGACAGACAAGACTAGAGAAGTGGTGGTGTAGCTCATTTCCTGTGCTTCTGCTGCTGCTTATGTTTGACTCTCTCTGTTAAGACTGTTGTTCTCACAGATATGGATTTTTTTATGACAGTCAACTTATAAACTTCTTATCTTTTTATGCATGATACGAGATAAGAGGGGCTTGGATTTTTATTTCTACCCACAAAGAAAATGTTTATTAGCTTTTTTACTGATCTGTGCTGTGGTTAGACAGACACTCTATGACATGACACTCATCTTTATGTAGTATCTATTATTTACTTAAAAAAAGCATTCAAAATGCAGTTCACATATAGTGATTTAACAGATAATCCTGTGATAAGCATGTTTATAATTTGTTAAAATAAAAAAGACAAAAGGGACAGTGGGATGCAACTTTTCTGATTTCATAATAAAGACAAAATCCTCATTAAAATAATTAATTATTGAAAAAAAAACTTATCAAGTATTTATCAAGCATAATCTTTTAACAAAACTGTTAATATTTTAACAAAACGTCTCAGGTTACGTATGTAACCCTAGCTCCTCGAGGGAACGAGACGCTGCGTCGGAAACGCTAGGGGAACGCCCTTCAGCGTGACGGGCTCTGAACCTCGTGTGTAATCAGACCAATAGATGGGCGAGACGTCACGGCGGGTGACGTAATGACCAGGAAGCTATAAAAGCACATGCGGTGAGACCAGCGTCAGCTTCTAGGAATGAAGCAAGCGCTGGCAGGGACGCCGGAAGTATGGCACCGCGACGCAGCGTCTCGTTCCCTCGAGGAACTAGGGTTACATACGTAACCTGAGACGTTCCTCTTCAGGAACTCGAGCTGCGTCGGAAACGCTAGGGGAACGCGACTGCCCACGCCGCCAGACTTCTAAGTCTCTGCCTAGTGTGGAAGACTGCACAGCTAGGGCGAGAGAACAGAAGAGCCAGGATTGGCTCGCATGTCTAGGTCATAGAACCTGACGAAGGTCAGGGGCGTGGACCATCCCGCGGCGTCGCAGATGTCCTGCATGGCGACACCTTGCCAGGAAGGCCTCAGAGGCCGCCACACTTCTAGTAGTGTGAGCCCTGACCCCAAGCTTCTGCTGGTCTGGATCGTACCGGAGGCCTCAGCCTCAGCGCACCATGGAGGAAACGTGTAACTAGGGGGTGTCTGCCCACTGACTGGCCACCAAGAGGGGCGTGGTAGGCCGCAATAGCCGCCACGTAGACCTTCAGGGTGGAGTGGGTCAACCCTGTGGAGAAACAGGCCTGCACGAACTCCAGCACTGTACCAACCGGACAGTTAACTGGGTCGAGCTGGCGGTCTCCACACCAAGAAATTTTTCTTGTTCCATGACTAGAGCCTGCTCGGGGCCCACCAGCGTGGGCGTAATCCCGTTGAAATGAGGCGGGGGAGAACCAAACTGGATTCTGTAGCTTCTCTCTACAGTGTGCAGGACCCACTGAGACACATTTGGCAGTAGTTAGGGACAATAGATAGGGACGCGCCCGTCTACATTCCCTCCACCGGATCCATACGCGAAACCCACGAGCACAGCCGCCGCTCCGCCTCGGCGAAAGCGGGGCCGGCGCCGCGAGAAACGCTAGTGAAAGCTCTCTCCTCAAAGAGAGCCCTCTGAGAGCAAAGCAAGGCAGTAACAAACACTACAAAAACGACCGTCAGCTCCCCTTTTTTTCCCGAGAGCTGACTCTGCGTGCTTGCTCTCAAGCAGACAACAAACAAACTGTGTGTATCCCCACCCGTAAAGTAACGCGGGCAGGGAAGAACACACAGCCTGAACGCTGCCTGCCCTCGCCTTAGTGTCTGGTTTTGTCTTGCTTTAGATTTCGTGACAGACAACACTAAATAAGACTCACAAACAGATATCAGACTGACACACACACACAGAGCGCTTGCTGAATGACAAAAGCTGACGCTGGTCTCACCGCACGTGCTTTTATAGCTTCCTGGTCATTACGTCACCCGCCGTGACGTCTTGCCCATCTATTGGTCTGATTACACACAAGGTTCAGAGCCCGTCACGCTGAAGGGCGTTCCCCTAGCGTTTCCGACGCAGCTCGAGTTCCTGAAGAGGAACTATTTCACTGCTAATTAATATTAAGAAATCTTGTGACCTAATCAAGCAGAAACATCCTGAAATTACTGTCAAGGTCAATATATCTCTTAAAATATCAGACAATGTGATCTTTTCCTCACAAGGAAAGGTTAGCTCAGGCTGTAAGATGTCATGTGGTGCGACACCCCTAAATGTAATGATATTTATGGGTCAGTGATTAATGGCATTTGTACAAATAAATAAATACTTTTTATCTTGAAAAATATTTTGTAAACTATTTTAACGGACCTATTCACTAAGGTCTCTATGAACCAAAGGACATATAATTATACTTCAAATTACACTTGGTAAAACCTTGTCGATAACACATCTTTTAGAATATCAATGAAGTAATCTATCACTTTTGAAATTGGTTTATCAGGAACATACGGAGTTCTTATAAATTATAGTGCGATCGCAACTGCTGTGGAGGGACAGAATGTCAGCCTGCAGTGCATTGTGGGAGAGGAGCATGGCATCACAATTATCCAGGTGGAATGGATTAAACAGCCAAAAGGAAATGAGAAGAACGATCAGAAAATTGTTGTGTTCCATCCTGGGTTCCCAACAAATTATTTTAAATCTGGTCCTCTTCTGGAGACAGTGACCAGTTCAAAAAGTGGGAAGCTGCAAGGCTCAATCTTGATTCTGCATAAAGTTACAGTGAATGACAGTGGAAACTATATTTGTGAAATTACTTCTTATCCTATTGGCTCGATTAAAAGAATCACAACGCTGCAATTCACAGGTAAACTGTTTACTGTAAACTGATTTCACATTTAAAATCAAATAAGCATCATCTGTCTGCTAATTTCAGAGCCTCCAGCATCAGTGAATATGCCATATCCATATGGATTCATAAAAGAGGGGGATGATATGAAAATAACTTGTTCAGCGATCCCTCCACCACTCCGATATAAACTGAGACGTTCAAAGGGGAGTCAGATGGAAAAATACACATTTCTATATGCCACAGTTTATATGTTGATCTCATTCGTCTCATCAGAACAAGATATTGTGGCTGGAAAGCTCAAACTGAGTTTATTTTACCACATGTCACCAGAAACGACAGCGATGTGTACATCTGTTGACCTGTATCTCAGTGCCACCGTCCAACTGACTGTGAATTGTGAGTGTTTGTACTGAGAATATAAACCAATTGCACCTAAAAAGGTTTTTGAATGATTTTTTATCATTGTCTGTCGAATAAAAGCTCTTACAAATAAACAAATCCATATAAAATAATTCCTGTTTTTCCAAACAGTTCTTGATGGCATTGAGTGTAACACAAGCAGCCCTTTAAACGTCAGCGCTGGTGAGGATGTGGCGATTGCTTGTATCGCAAAAGCTTCACAGTATTTGCAGTATACGTGGATGAGGGTAAGATCGTGAAATATTAAGAGATTGAAATGAAATATTAAAGCAGTATTGTTTTAATAAAACATTTGTAGTGTATTACCTGTCTAAAATTACAAATCCATGTAAGGATTTTTTAGGGTGACACAACACTGTCTCTCTCAGACACTTTGCCTCTGACCTCCGTAACATCTGACCAGTCAGGAACATACAAACTGACAGCTGTCTTTCTGGACAATCATCTCCAGACAGACATGGAGATTTCTATCCAGGTTCTCTCAAAGCAAAGTGAAGGTAAGAAAAAGCTTTTTGTAATTGTGATCACATGGCAATTTAGGTTCCTTTGCCCAAAAGCAATGCATACGCAGCACAAACAATGGAAAAACTTAAAAATACCACTGAAGCCTTTGGAAATCATTTATACATTTTGTAACAGAGGTTAATTGATCAATTCCCCTCTTTCAAAGCCTTCCGGGACTTATTGTTTTAGGAAAGGCTGTTGGGGTGTTTCTGTGAGTGCAGGTCAGGTTTTGCCTGGATTGTGGGAACTAATGTCCCTACAAGGATAGTAAAACCTGAAATCATCCACATTGTAACAGGCCAACGGTCCCCATGAGGAAAATGGCTTAATAAACAGGCTAAATTATCTTAATGAAAATGTAAAATGCAGAAGGTTTGTGTAATTATTAGATTTATCATTAGCTCACAAATGTGTGCTCTGTAAGAAAAAACTATCTGTAGACAAACATTAATGTACTGGTAAATGTTCTGCTAGAACATTATCTGTTAAAGACATGAAAGATGATATTGTAAAAAAAAAAGTTGGTAACCAAACAGTTTCTTTTCCCAATGACCTCCTTTGTATGTACAATGGAAGTCAATAGGAACCGAAACTATAGGGTGGATTGACATGAGGGTGAGTAAATGATGATGGAGTTTAAATTTTTTGGTAGACTAACCCTTCAAGTTTACAGACATTTCCTTTAACCCTAATAATTAAAAAATGTAAAATCTGGGTAAAACACCTGTGGAAAATCAATACAGAAAGTTGGGCCCTATTTTATAAAATTTTCTTAGAGTATGTGTGCATCATATAATGTACTTTTGACACACATTTGGATAAGCTCACAGGTTAGTGAGCACTTTCTGTGCTTTTGCAGACAGTGAATAGTAGGCTATCATTGTGCAAACTCACACCACAAACTTCCCAATACTGTTTCACTTCCATACAGCTTTTAAGGTCTAGTTTTATTGTAGTCTAATGCAATACTAATAATATAATATAATATAATATAATATAATATAATATAATATAATATAATATAATATAATATATAATATAATATAATATAATAATCCTTTTTCCAAATCACTTGACCTATGTAAGTTTGTATTATTATTGTAATATGTATTGTAGTATGTAAATGTAATATTTCTTAATATACATTCTTTATATATTTAATTTTTCCTTCCATAATGATTTCTGCTGAAGGAATGACAACTCCTTTTCCAGTAAGGACCACCAAACATCTGAGCAGCTTTACCTCCAATGGGACCAGCTAATGGAGCACTGATACCACTGTGACTACATCAGAATCTGGTCACTTCCTAGCCAGCACAGTGAAACCAAATGCAACTCTGACAACCTTACAACCAAAACACACCAGCCATCCCACTCCTCTCACTGGCAGCTCTTCTGCTCCACCTGTTGGCAATGCATCTACATTACATGCAAGCACTGTAAAATCTATAGACACCTCTACAGACAGTTTGAGCACAACTCCAGATCCAGCTACAAGAAGAAGAGAAAGAGTCACCACTGTTATAACACAGAAAAACATCACCGCTGTTACAGCACCAAAAGGTAAAACCACACACAAATTACTCTTCTGAAAGACAACACTAAATCAAAACTTGTCATATTCACACACACTTATTGTTGGGCAGTGATTGGCACTTTCAAAAACACTGCTTTATAATGGTTTTAACAGATCCTGGGTCAGTTTTATAATGTCAAATCAACTCAAATTAAAAAATGCATATAATTTTTTTTCTTCATTTATTTTTTTACTCATGCAGAAATAAAGTGCAGTGAGTGTGTCACATAGCCTACTAATGTTTTATATAGCCTTAATTCAATTGAGATCAACTTATCTGTCATATACCGTATAAAGCTGTAACTGGAATATTCCCTTTGAATATTGTTTTAATCCATTTCAGAAATTATAATTGGTAATGTTTAATGTTGATTTAAAAATAAATTTAATACACAATAAAATAATCTGACATGTTTAGCTATAGCTTGGGAGCATGTGTTATATGATTGATATCAGTGTTTTATTCTGAAACAGACATGTACATGACAGTATAAACAGGATATGAATTTGGGCCAAGATCTGAGCTAATTATAAAACCAGGCCTTTTATTATTGGTTCACTTTTCCATGCTCTTGTTTTTCTTTCAGCCTCAAAAAGCTCAGCATATATCCCTGTTCTGATTTTGCTGCTGTTGCTTGTGTTTGTGCTTCTATACAGAAGACACAAAAACGTCTTCCATTTATGGATTATGGAGGCCACTGTGCTCTTGGGAACCTTAAGTGCAGCAGACATTTTTTTGTAACCTTGGCCAGATCTGTGCTTTGCCACAATTCTGTCTCTGAGCTCTTCAGGCAGTTCCTTTGACCTCATGATTCTCATTTGCTCTGACATGCACTGTGAGCTGTAAGGTCTTATATAGACAGGTGTGTGGCTTTCCTAATCAAGTCCAATCAGTATAATCAAACACAGCTGAACTCAAATGAAGGTGTAGAATCATCTCAAGGATGATCAGAAGAAATGGACAGCACCTGAGTTAAATATATGAGTGTCAGAGCAAAGGGTCTGAATACTTAGGACCCTTTGCAGGACATAAATCTGCAAAAACGTCAACAATTCTGTGTTTTTCTGTCAATATGGGGTGCTGTGTGTACATTAATGAGGAAAAAAAATTAACTTAAATGATTTCAGCAAATGGCTGCAATATAACAAAGAGTGAAAAATTTAAGGGGGTCTGAATACTTTCCGTACCCACTGTATATTTCATCAATACTTTGATGCTTCAAAACGTTTATAAAGATGTTGTAAATGTTGTCAATATGCAACAAATAGTTTATTTTTAAAAGTTTTCCAAAGAGAGTCATTTTATATGATGAACAGATTAAGATTTTAAAGCCTTATAAACACTGATCAACGCACATGAAATATGTTACAAAATGTGATTTGAAGATAAACAAAAGTCTTGTGGCTTTAGAATTTTGTGTGAATTACATCTTTAATGTTTTATTTTGTTATATTTTTGGTTAACATGAGATCCTCATTTCTATGTGTCTTTATGTGATTTAAGTGGTTTTTAAAGTTTTTTTTATTTTTTTTAAGTATTTCTGAATAGGCTGTACATAAAATGTTATTATAAATAATTTGGATTTGTTCTTTTTTGGTAAGTTTTAAAAATAATTGTTAAAAATTGTACTAAATTTTGCTTAATTATGCTTTATAAAGATTAAATATATTACATTATATATTACATTACATAATTTTTTTATTAAAAAAACTAACACTAGCTTTCTATTTTTTCTATTATATCTATTTGTTTTTCTGAGTGTGTGTGTGTATATATATATCATGTCACCATATTCTAATTTGTTGAGATAGTGAATTGGTGGGTTTTTGTTAAATGTGAGCCAAAATCATCACAATTAAAAGAACCAAAGACTTAAACTACTTCAGTCTGTGTGCATTGAATTTATTTAATACATGAGTTTCACAATTTGAGTTGAATTACTGAAATAAATGAACTTTTCCACGACATTCTAATTTATTGAGATGCACCTGTATATATAATGTATACCTTGCTATGTGTACTGCGTTAGGCTAACCGAGACTTGTCATTTGCACTTACTGTACATATTGTTGCTCTTTTGTTAGTTTTGATTGCTTCTATTGTCCTCATTTGTTAGTCGCTTTGGATAAAAGCATCTGCTAAATGAATAAATGTAATGTAAATGTATTACATAATATCTTGGGTTTTACTTAGTACACAAACTATTCACATAGTAAGGACCTTTGAAATAACTGAAATTGTTTGGCGAAATCGGCATGTAATGCCTGTAATGTGATCAAGACCTGCCTGGAACTACTAGCCGTGTATTTCCCTGAAAATAATTGCACACATTAGAACGTTATTCAAGCAATCAGATTTAATCATTCAACAGCCCCGTAGTATAAGTTATATAATTTCCATGGTTTTGCTACAAAATTACATTTTATAGCACATTTTAAAGCACATACTTTCCTTCTCCCGCTCTCCAATACAAACGCACACACATACAGTACAGACACAAACTCGCACACACAGAAACATACACGTGCACAGAAACATTTAGTCAGCACTGCGCTGACAATTTTTTCAGTAAATGGTTTATATTAGAAACTTAAAAGCTACATAATATTTCTCTCTAGCGAGATAATAACAGCGCTGTTCTTGAAGCAGATGAATTTACAGTTTCGTTATTAGTAGAGACTGCATCACCTCCTCGGGTGTGTATTATTTTCTAATAATTAAACAGCCCGTCGTCAATTATTCCTTACTTCTTTCAAGATTGAGGTCTCTGCAGAGCAAACATGGGCGTTTCTAACTTTGTGGGTGTTTTACAACTGCTGGGTGTTTCTAAATCATGCAATGAAAATGATCCCCCTTCCCTGTCACTATGACGTCAGCCAATTAGGTAACATGGTCGTTTTGGCCTCGCCCACTGATTTGGTATAGTAACTCCCATTACTTTCCTGCAAAGACCTATGCTTGGTTCTTTCTTCAATGCATATGTTGAGTTGTGCAAGGGATGCGAGATGTTTATGTGCCCTTCTTATCTAACATCTAGTATTCTATGACTCAATTTTACAGTTGGTTGCAATGTTTAATTTTTATTTATAAAAAAAAGCATAGCTTGTCACAGATGCATTCTGACAGAAAAATCGAGGAATACATGCTGAAAGTCAACACTTAAATAAAATAAGGTCATAATTACTCTTTATAAGCACAATAAACTGCTTTATCAAAGCAGTTCATTGCGCCTATAAAGAGTATCACAACCAACTTCATCACTCCATCCAATCTACTCTAAACATAAGAGCAGCTCTCCATTAATTATCCTATAAATGTTCACTTAAACAGTCCTGCAGTTACTACCGTTAGTGAAATGAAACTACAGTATACTGCACAGGATTTTTTGATGACAGAGACAATTTATAAACTTCTTATATCTTTATGCATGATACGAGGTAAGATGGGCTTGAATTTTTATTTCTACCCACAAAGTCTACAACAAATGTTTACCAGCTGTTAAACTGATTTGTGCTCTGGTTAGGTGGTCTATGATATGACACTCATCTTTTTATCCTATAAATGTGCTAAAAAAATCAATATAAATTTCAGACATATAGAGACTTGATTGCACTTCTACTGGATGATGAACATGCTTTTAATTTCTATGTTAAAATTAAAGTCAAAAATTACAAAATGATACTGTCCTGATTTCATAAATACAAAACCAAAAATCCTTGATCAATTATTTATCAATCTTTCATTATTATTAATGTTTTAATATACATAAAATGCATCAAACAAGACTGATTAACTGCTGATATACTGCTTATACTGTATTACTGCTTAAATATTTTTAAAACTTCACCAGGGAACTCCAAGTTGTTTATGGTCCAACCAACAAGCAGAAATATCCTGAAGAGAGAAAAAAATGTACTTGATGCAAAAATAAATGAATAAAAGAAGAATAAATACTTTTTTTCTAAACTTGTTTTCTACATTTTAAATAATGACTAAAATATGCACACTCACATGCGTTCAAGGTGTAAGGAAAATATATTACTTTTTATTTGATTTTATTACAAATAAAAAATGCAATGTGATGCTGAAAAAATAAATAAACAAATCAGTCAATCAATCAATAAACTAACAAATAAATAATTTTTACATTGAGAAATATTTTACATATACAATCACAAGTGTTCAAGGTGTCAGAAAAATATATTTCTTTTTACTTGATGGTTACACCCCATCACATTTCTATAGCTATTAAATTCAAACTTTCCTTGGCCTGTCTTGAGTCTTGACCTAGGTCTCTATACATAAAAGGACATCAAATTATATTGTGGGAGAGGAGCATGACATCACAATTATCCAGCTGGAATGGACTTCTCAGAAAATGAGAAGAACGATCAGAAGATTGTTGTGTTCCATCCTATGTTGCCAACACTTTATTTTCAATCCTGTCCTCTTCTGGAGACAGTGACCAGTTCAAAAACTGGGAAGCTGCAAGGCTCAATGCTGACTCAGTGGAAACTATATTTGTCAAATTACTTCTTGGCTCGATTAAAAGAATCACAACGCTGCAATTCACAGGTAAACTGTTTACTATTGTTAACTTAAATTCTCACATTAATTTACATTTAAAATCAAATAAACATAATCTGTCTGCTAACTTCAGAGCCTCCAGCATCAGTGAAGATGCTATATCCATATGGATTCATAAAAGAGGGGGATGATATGAAAATAACTTGTTCAGCGATCCCTCCACCACTTCGTTATAAACTGAGACGTTCAAAGGTGAGTCAGATGGAAAAATACACATTTCTATATGCCACAGTTTATAACTGTTGTGTTGATCTCATTCGTCTCATCAGAACAAGATATTGTGGCTGGAAAACTCAAACGGAGAGTTTATTTTACCACATGTCACCAGAAACGACAGCGATGTGTACATCTGTTGACCTGTATCTCAGTGCCACCGTCCAACTGACTGTGAATTGTGAGTGTTTGTACTGAGAATATAAACTAATTGCACCTAAAAAGGTTTTTGAATGATTTTTTATCATTGTCTGTCGAATAAAAGCTCTTACAAATAAACAAATCCATATAAAATAATTCCTGTTTTTCCTGAAAATAAGAAAAAGCTTATTTTTTTTGTAATTGTGGTCACATAGCAATTTAAAGTTCCTTTGTTAAAAAAACGCTTTTAACTGTGAATAATAACGATAAAGTCCCAGTTTGCCCAAAGCAATGCACACACAGCACAAACAATGGAAAAACTTAAAGGGGTCATATGATGCGATTTCAAGTTTTCCTTTCTCTTTGGAGTGTTACAAGCTGTTCGTGAATATATAAGATCCCTGAAGTTACAAAGACTAAAGTCTCAAATCCAAAGAGATATTCTTTATCAAAGTTAAGACTCTGCCACACCCCCCTAAAACAGCTCGTTCTAACACGCCCCCACATATCTACCTCACTATGTGGGAATATTTGCATAATGCGCCCAAATGTGCACGCAAAGAAAGAAGGCGTGGTTTCAGTAACCGCAGTTAGTGTTGAAGCAGCCATGTCAGGGAGACGCTGTGTGTTTCTAGGAGAAAGCAAACGCACTTTATTTGGCCTTCCGAAAGTAGATGCATTTAGGAATCTTTAAGATTACTTACAACAGAACAGCAATGCATTTTATGGACGACCGTTTCGTGAACTAAGGAGAGGAGGTAATTCTGACTTTGCTATGACAATCTGGCGCTTCTGAATCAGCGACTGTAAGTATGTTTTGTTACTAGTTTAAGTATTTGCTATTGCCTGTTCAAATGCGGAGTTTTGCGCATCGTGTGTGTGTGTGTGCACGCAAAACATTAACAACAACACTGAAATATGAGCGCACGGTTTATCTGTCAGATGCGTATGAAAGTTGTATGTGTTGAGCTACTATAACAAACATCATTGGCTGGTAGAAAGAAAAATGCATTTTTCAGTTGCATAAAAGTTGTTACTTAAATAATTATGGGGGTGAAAAATATTAACGAATTTAACGCACCAGACCTGTCCGTTATCGTACATTCATGTAGTTGTTGACAAACGTGATGCAGGACGACTGAGTGCATCATAAAGCCTAGAATACAGTTAGCCTATATCATTCTATAATTTAAGATATGAGAGCAAATAATACAATCAGAGAGCCATCCATAAAGACAGTCGCTTGTTTCATTTCTGAATAAATTAGCCATTTGTAAGAATCGTTTGAATGAATGATTAAGACTGTCGTACACCCGAGGAGAAGCACAGAGCCGCGCCGCGTCTAGAACAACTCGAACAACAAATACAACATGATGTAGCTAGACGCACAGACAGAAGCCGAATGGCACCGCCGGTGTGCGTACACTCATAGAAAATAATGTGTTAGAATTTTAAAGAAGTGGCGTGAAGCAACGCGGCACTACGCTTCTCATCCGGTGTGCGACCGTGCAACAACATTACTACAGAGAGAATAAAAGTTATGCCTTCTTTCTTTGCGTGAACATTTGGGCGGTGTTATGCAAATCTTCCCACAGAGTGACGTAGACATGTGGGGGCGTGTTTAAATGAGGTGTTTTAGGAGGGTGTGGACCTAGTCTAACTTTTATAAAGAATATCTCTTTGGATTTGAGACTTTAGTCTTTGCAACTTTACAGATCTTCTTCATGGACCAAGAGCATGTAACACTCCAAAGAGAAAGGAAAAATTGAAATCACATCATATGACCCCCTTTAAAATAATATTATCTGATTAAAACACCCAGCGCTCCGATGCTGCTGCAATGTTGTGTGTTCACATAATTAATTTATTTAATTGTCAAAATTAATTGTCTGTTAAAAAAAAAGGTGGGCATGGGGTGGGGATTTCTGCTTTTAAACCTACGCCCTTGCAACATGCCTGTACTGTTTCACTTCCATACGACTTGTAAGGTCCAGTTTTACTCTAGTTTAATGCAATGAAATAATACAATATAATATAATATAATATAAAATTACCTATGACCTATGTAGGATCACAGGAATGCTATACATTATTTAATGTATGTATTTATTTATTTAAATTGTGTATATTGTATTATGTAAATGTAATATTTCTTTATATATTTCATTGTCCCTGCCATAATGATCGCTGCTGAAGAAATGAGGAGCTCATGGAGCACTGATGCTATTGGGACAACAGAATTTGGTCACTTTCTAACCATCCAAATGCTACTATGACCAACCTACAACCCAGACACACCAGTCATCCTACTCCTCACACTGGCAGCTCTTCTGCTCCACCTGTTAGCAATGCATCTACATTACATGCAGGCAACTCTTACAGCTCCAGATCCAGCTACAAGAAGAAAAGCATTTACCTCTGTTATAACAAAGAAAAACATCACCGCCACTGATACAACACCAAAAGGTACAACACACAAACACACAAATGAGTCTTCTAAAAGTCAACATGAAATCAAAACTGACCATAAATTCCTTTTAATGCACACACTCCTGGAATATTATTCCATAGGGAAAACATGTTTGTAATCTTTTATAAAAATGTAAAAACAAATGTCCTTTTATGTGAAGCCACATGCGAGGTGCCGAGGTCTGCTGGTCAGAGACGGGTGCTTCATAAAGTTTTGAAACATTTAAAAAAATATTTTGTAGCTTGTATTAATCTCGTTAAGTTACACGATTCCATCAACTGAGGCTTAATTATGTTAGCTTCAAACCACCGATCAGAGATCTAACATTTCAAAATCCATGAATTTCAGAACCCATGAATGGTTTTAACTGAGGGTCCGCTTTATAATGTAGATGTATTTTTAATTAACTTAATGAATTTTAATACGTGTGTGTGTGTATAATACAAAAAGAAGAATACAAATATTCTTCTATTTGTATTATCCACCACGTACAAGTATTATTTAATTCCTTCTAATTAACCTATTTGCCAAGCCCTGGCAACAACAAGCACTAGCTACACAAAGAACACACAGATTTTACAGAACCCTGATATCTGATGTTATTTAATAATTTGTACATTACGTTTAATAAATTAAAACAACTGGTTTGTAACAAATACATTTTTGTTGCGTTTACACAGATTTGACCACCAGGTGCCGCCAGTCCGTAGTGTTTTGAGCACTTCGAAACAGTGAATCATTTTGCGAAGTAAATGATTCAGAGATTCGAAAAGCTTTGTTTCCCCTTTCACTATTTTTGGTCATGTTTTTTGTTACAAGTAATTGCATCTTTCTAAATGTAGTCTGTGAAAACCGGTATACACTGAAATGGTATGGCAATAATAGCTAGCACATAAAGAGATGGTTTATCTTTGGGATACATTAAGAATCTTGATGTATTAGGTTATAACTGAAATATTCCCATTGAATATTGTTTTAGTCCATTTCATATCTCATATTAAGGATTTAAAGTTTTAAAAGAGACGATTTTAAAGAAATTCAATACACACCCAAAATCCAAAATTAAAAAACTTATAGCTCAGCATATAATCGCTGTCCCATTTGTGTTACTGTTGCTCATGTTGATTGTGTTTCTATACAGAAGACACCAGAACCAAAAAAAAAAAGTGAGACACAACCAAATCAGCAGCACTTCCTCTGTCCTTTTACGTAATCACATCCTACACATTTCCAGTCCATTTATCTACATTTGTACTTTTTCTATTCAGAATGGATATGCCACCTCCATTCAAACCTCCCCCACCACCAGTGAAATACACATCAGTGAGGAACCATGATGTCCCTATGACTGATATTCTAATGTGAATGTATCATGCTCTTGAGAACCCACAAACCGTGGGCCACAAATATGCTGACAGGACGATTTTTCCCTAAAGGCCTCACTCAGAAATGAAAATTGTTTCATGAATTACTCATCCTGATGAAGTTTCTTTCATCTTCAAAACACAAATAAAGATATTTTTAATGAAAGCTGAGCGATTTCTGTCCTTCCATTGAAAGTCCACACAACCAATACTTTGATGCTTCAAAAAGTTCATGAAGGCATTGTAAATGTAACCCATATGAATCACCCGGTTTAATTCAGGCCTTCTGAAAAGGCGCTCACTTTATATGAAGTTTTATTCACAATAAAACATCGATCAGTACATAAAGAACATAAAATATATTATGTTTATATGTTTATCATTTTCATTTTGGAGCGAATTTTTAAAGTACTTTTTCATTATTTTCTCTGTATTTCTGAATAGGATGTAAGTTAAACTTGTTACTCTTAGGAATAATTTGGGTTTGTTATTTTTCGGTAATTTTGCTTAACTATGCTTTACAGACATAAAATATATTATCGAAAATCTTGTGTTTTAATTAGCGCGCAAACTACTCCTACATCATAACTATGTAAAAAAAAAAATCCCTGAAATGTGTGAATTTACAAAAAAAAAAAAAAAAAGTGTGTGAGGGTGCGAGGAGGTGGGGTCAAAACCCGGGTAAATTCCAGAAATATGAAATATGACTAGGCCTAAGGTAAATAACTTTAGAGTTTAATAATAATTAGTATTATTATGATTATTTAAAATAATAATAATATGTTCAATAGATGAGACACTTATTGCAATATTTGATTTTTAATTCCATTACAATACAACTACAAAGAAAATATAGTGAGTGCTATTACTATCAGATAGCTTTGCAATAAAGCCTACATGCTAACACTGACCTCCTGTTGTGGCTGCATGTTCTGCTAACAAAGCGAAGGCTATCAGCTAATAGTTTCAGGCCCCATAAAACCTCAGTTTACACCTCAGATTCTCGAGACAAACCAACTGCCAAAACCACATCAGACTGTATGTATCCATAACCTTACAGGTCTAATCTCCAAATACAAACCCCAGCTCTGGTCACCATTTATTATAACTTGCAATAACAGCACAGCTGGTGGTTGTTTATATGGTGCTTAAAGCAAATTAGGCTGAATTTCTGGTTTTGTTCAGGCTGCTCATACAACATTCGGCATTTTAAAACGCGGTTTACTCCTGAGAACAAGCCTTTATTAAATGTGGGAGAAGATGGAGATGGAAAGGCATTTTTAATTAATGAACAGCGACATATGCCTGATAGAGAGTGAGTGTGTGTGTGTGTTAAGACAGAGAGAAAACAAGAGAAAGAGAGAGAGATATGCTTTTTGTACAGAGTTTTGTGCATTGTGGTTCTTTGCTACAACAGCGACAGGTTTATGCAGAGGGACGTTTCCTGCTCTCGCTCTTGTGGTCGGAAATGGAAAATTCAGAAAAAAGGATTGATTGTTTCAGTTGTTAAATCACCTGTATCCTGCACTGTATAATCATGTCTCCAATGTACTATTGTACTTCATGATGTATACAGGTAATTTACCAATAATGTATGAGAAAAATCATCAATTGTTCAAAAAATGAGCAAAATTCTATTTTCATTTTTATTTGCCTCTCAGAATAAAGTACAGTGCGTGAAAGCTTAGTTCTACACAATACAGAAACTAGAAATTGAAGATTCGTGTAGTTGTTCTTTTGAAAAGTATCACCTGAATTCCTTATATTATGAATATTATATAGAACATTTGTGTTCTTTGACATTTTAACAGTATTTTAGTTGTATATTACAGTGTGTAAATTCAAAGGATGATTTGTTTTACAATAAAATTGCGGTTCAACAAAGTATTTGATGTGATGGATGTAACCAAATATTCAAGATTGGGGCAACAAAGGTACATTTTTAAGAACTGGTAGCCTAATTGAAAAACCCATAATAGTCAAGTGCTAATCTGAATATTAAATATATTGCTGCCTCTCAGTGTCTATGGTAGTTGCGGCCCTGTTTGAGTTATTAGAGTATTAGTGTATTAGAGTTTGTTCACAAGAAATCAATACAAGATAAAAACGTAAAGGCAATATACTTTTTAATAGAGAAAATCGAGATAAACACAACAGATTTGACATATTTCACAAAACACAACAAGGAAACTTTTAAATGCAAATTCTTTCAGAAACATTTCACACTTACATTTGAATAAATACAGTGACACAGTAAAAACGAAATGCTTTCGATGTACATCTCAACAACAGAGTGTGGTTCATGATGCTACACAATGCAGACTCCATGTGTTTCTTGTGATGTGAACATTTGCAACGAATAAGGTAGCCGCCACGTTTCCTGTCTGTAACCGAAAACGTCTAAAGACGATAAAAATAGCAGCTACACTGGTGCACTTCTTGCTGAACATGCTCACGTACAGGTGAAAGGTTTTATCAGACAAGGCTTTATTGGACATTTGACCCTATTAAATCATGCAGACAGGTAAGAGGAAAAATACTGTACTTTATCACTTCTGTATGTGAATGTTTTCTGTTGACGGTATTGTGAAAGCATTGTGTTTCAATGAAAGCTGTTTTGTTGCCTCAGTCAGTAATTCATCATGTTAATGGTTTCTTTCATAATTGTATTTTTGCATGTTTTCTTTACGGTTCTCAGTGATTTTTTTGTTCTTAAGGCTTAGAAAAGTGATGGATTGAAATCAAACCCTGACATACAGTATTAAAGCTTCTTTGAATGATACAGTAAATAATCTACACAAAACAATTAGTGAAGTTTATTAATGATATAAATGATAATAATTATATTGGTAGAAATTCTTTCAATTCTTTCAGTGTGATGACGTCTAGGGAAACTCAAACAACTTTTCTTAATGATTTCTGTTTATACACTACTTATTGATATGATTCTATCTGACAACAATTTGTATAAATAAATAAAATGTTAAATTGAAATATTTAAATATTTATTGAAAGGTTTAAAAAAAAACAAAAAAAAAGAATTAAAAAGGAGTTATAAAATGACGATTGCACCAATTGCCTGATGTTGTTGTTTCAGTTTAGTCAGGCAAAATAATGGCTAGTATGGAAATGTGGAAATTATTATAAAATATTGTAAATATATCTCTAAATATTAGATAAGATGTAATGGGAAGCTAATTCAATATTCATCCACTCATGACCTGTTAATTCTCTCTTTAGAATGCACAAGTCAATATGTTGCTATTGGTCTGACATCGATTGCACTGCTGATATCTGTGTGCTTAAATGTTGCATTCTGTTTATTAAGAAGAAAGGAAAAAAAATATGCAGGTATGCTTCATACATTTGACTTTTAAAGATTATGACAAATCTACTGAGGTCACAGTTATAGACTATTTTTTTTTTATCAGCTAATGAAAACATGTTTGAATATGGAGATGAGCCATTACGTCAAGATTCACTTCGGTCTTACAGGTAATTATCAGCATATTGTTTGAATCACAAGTTTTATGTGTATTCTCACAAAAAGGTGAAAAAATGTAATAATCCTTTTCCACAGCAACAGCCCTTTGAATCATTTAAACACATTTGGTTATGTTTTGGTCAGGTTTGAGGATGATGAGATGGAAAGACAGGAAAATCCGATTTATGGAAATATATGTTTAGAGGCAGGAGGTAGGTCTAGCTCACAAATACAGTAATCCAGTGTGTCTGCTACCTAGAGCTAATAATTATGCTGTTATGATGACATTGGTATTTATTTAATACTTGTTAATTCTGTACAGGACCTTTTGAAATGTCTCCAGAGGTGTGCTATGAACAAATGTCACATGCAGGCACAGCAAAGCAGGGATTAAAGGTATGTTTTCAACAAATTTCATGGAAATTGCTAACATCTGGAGCCATTCAATGCACATTATTAATGTAAAATAATTTTTACATTAATATTTACACTACTTATCTACATTAGACATAAAATATAAAACAATGAGTTTATCCGTTAACCGTAAAAACATGGAATTTTAACCAGCTTAATCAATGTTTTTATGAAAAACATGCAATATCCATCCTAACCGATATTCCTGCCATTATTCATTTATTTATTCATCCATTTATCCATTTATTTGTTTGCTTATTATTTGGTTCGCTGGCTAGTGTTGGTCATTTGATGGCCAACCATTAACAAATTGCATATTAAACTCAGAACAAAATTGAAACATTTAATATGTGGATTTTATTTTCAGGTTCTCTGTCTTCTCGTATGCAGCAACTATTAAATTATATATATTTTAAAGTAAAAACTGCTGGTTGTTGCATGCGTTGTATAGTATTTCCAACACACTCAATATTAGAAAGCGTGCACCTTCATATATCAATCTGTACTGTGTGATGTTTTTCATAATCACTTTAATGGCTTAATGGTTCAAATTTAAGATGTTCACAGAGAAGGGCTGCGTGAGAATGCTCACTTGATAACTATTTTAGGCACGCACGCCTACGCATTTTTCAGAAAATAGACACTTGTGTAGAAGCAGGTCTTTTAATGAATGCAGCTGTGGTCAGGTTTCTCAGACCACTCTACAGCAGTATTTATGTCAAAAGCTACATTGTTATGCCACATTAATAGCTCTCTAGCTGAACATTCAAGTGCATTGATAGTACTTCTGCAAGATATTGCACCTTTTTTGTTCAGCTAAAGTCACCACCATATCAAACTTGAGATTTTTTTTTTTAATTGAATATTGCAGTGTTTATTATAAATGATTCATCCGTGCACATCATTATTATTTTTTAATTCATGCCCCCTCATCATGGACCCTTTTCACACACTATGATGAAGCATTTCCAAAGTTATTAACATCGTAAATCTAGCAAAGTCATTTATTTTATTTAAAAAAAAATTCTTTAATATACATTTTTAACCATATACTTTGTGTTTTCTAACTTTGGCATACAGTGTTCCCAATACAAAGGATGAGGGAGTGACAGCAAATTTGACATCTTTCTCTCTTTTGACCAACAATATTTTTTTCCTGTTTTGGAAAGTAAGAAATGCTGTCATTGATTTTTTTATTTTGCTATTGGGGCAAATGAGAACACAGCAATTATTTTTGAAATTTATGACCCTGGAAATGTGAAAAGGGTCAATCTTTAATCAAAATCTCTCATGATGTGTTCACCGACATGAAGGGAGGACATTAACATCTTCTCTACAGTAACATGTCACTCACATTGTAATGACAACAATCCAATCAATTTTCAATGAACAAAATCCTTTATTCATTTCAGACTTTAAAATTTGGTGTTGAGGTTTATGCTGTTTTCCCATCTGGCTCATTTGGAGCATTTGTTTCTGAAACTGGCATATTTTCTTTCCTAGTTCTGTTTGTTTAGGCATATATGAACATAACAATCAGTCCAAGATCGCCTGAATGTGGTGGTCTCAGCTCAATTGAAAACAAACTGGTTTGGTTTTGGTGACAAATAAATCCAATACAACAAACCAAGCTGTAAAAGAATTAATAATGGGAAATATATTTGATAAAATCTGCAAAATCTGATTTCCTGGGTGAGCACGTTATTTATCACAGTTGAAAACCAAAGAGCACCTATTCATCTTAAAACGTTGTCGAATTGTTCTTCTTTCTATTAATTCCTGCTCTAACTGAGAAATGTTATATATTCTGGAAAGTGTGTGTGTAACGACAGCTACAGATATAGCCTTGATGGATGACGCTATAAGGAACATAAACATTTGCAATGAGAGGACAATTTTACTTACATGCGACTCGCATAAACACATTTTTGTATGCTTTGAAATGTTGCCATATGAAAGTGAACTGAACCAAAAAGAAAATGCAACATTGTCATAATTTAAGTCCCTGTTGCGGAACGCAGCAAATAATCTACAGGTCTAAAAACACCTTTAGTCTATTTCAACACGAAAATCAGAGGTGTAAGATATCATATCGCAGATTTGCAGTCTGAGACTTTAAGAAAGCTATACCAGTATTGCACAACTTATTGCGAAATTGTTTTGATGGCCTTTGTTGTGTTGCAATTTAGCCTGCAAGCTAAACTGAGGCAAGGTACACTAAGTTAATGTAACATCATGGTTTTTGGTTTTGTTTTTTCATTGCACTGGGCGTGTTACATCATGAAAATACAGTTTAGGTTTGTCATTATCTCACAGGTCCAGCAGGGGGACGTGTCCTATGCCTCTCTGGATCTGACTGCCAATAAAAAGCGTAGGAAGAAGAGAAAATACCAAAAACAGACTCACCCTCAGACTCACCAGGCCCAGACACATCCTCAGCCTGCATCCCAGCAGAACTGCATGAACCAGGATGACGAGGCTGATGTCACCCTCCCGTCCCGGAGCAGCAGCCTCATGGTTTCACGTCACAGCATCTACCTCAACAGTCATCAAGTAGCCCTGGAGGCAGAAGAGATGGAGAGGGAGAGAGAGAGGGAGAGAGAAAGAGAGATGGAAATGGAAATGGAAAGAGAAAGAGATGATAATGAAGAGAGAGAGTTTGAGATGCACAGAAAAGTGCTTGAAGGCTTTGATCACTCCCTCGGTAGATCAAGACAAAGTCTAAAACAGGACAGTTAACAGTTAGAGAGTTCAAAAAATACAAATAAAAATACCTTTAGCGAATTAAAAGAAACGAACACAGGATACTGTGGGGTGGTGCTGTCAATAGCTGTGACATTTAAAGCTCATCTCTATCCCAGATCATAAGTTCTGTGTGTTCTAAAGCATGCAGAGGAGACCAGCTGATGTTGTGTCCAATCGAGACGCATCTAAAGGAGTTTACCACTTTAAATGTGCTTTCTTGTTTCTTGCATTTGAAGGATGGTCTGTTTGTTGTTGTACTTATAAGAAGAATATATTAACAAATATTTATCTGCTTATTTTTATGCTAGATTTTCAGGATAACATGTAGGCTATAAATGTATATTTGTGCAAATAAGGTTGACTGATGACTCGAGTCATTTGATGTAAGTATGCACAGAATAATTAGGACAGTTTAATAGCTATTATTTAGAGTTGTAATATTTCTGTGGCTTTGTCTTGATATTAAATGTGTTGGTGACTATTTTTGTATCTGTAATTCTTTATATGAAAGCTTTGAAGAATGTCTAGATACAAAAAAATACCACAAAATTGACCAAATATTTAGGCCTACCATAAAAAATTCTCACTTAGCGTTGCTAGAAACGGTCCGATGAAAACTTTCCTTCTTCTGCAAATTTCCGCCGCAACCAATCATGACGTTTGCTCCCGTAGTCACGTGATTGTAAACATGGCTGCGCGCGGTTGAAAGTCATGCGATAGCTCTTGGATATCATTCCTTATTTTCATCTTTTTCAATTGTAATTTATTTGCAGTTATATAAACGTTTGTCTTGATATATACTGCCAACAATATTGTCATGGACCCCGCCGGACAGCTACGAAATGTACGTATTACATCTAGCGCGTGCAATCCTTTTCATCCATATATGAATGTGACAAATATTTGATAAAATCATGATTTTATTGTACGGTTTTTGGGATTTAGTTGCGGGACTTCCTCCTCGTTTACAATCGCATGACGGAAATCTGCTTCCAGCGATGCACAAGCAATTTCAACTACAGAAATCTGACAATGGATGAGGTGAGGCAAATATGATTGACCTATTATTTTAATTTATAAAAACGTTTAAAAAATGCATTAATTGATGTATTCCTAGGATGTTATATATAGATTTTCGTTATATATATATATGTGTGTGTGTGTGTGTGTGTGTGTGTGTGTGTGTGTGTGTGTGTGTGTGTGTGTGTGGTTGGTTGGTTGGTTGGTTTTTGTGTTGGTTTGTTGGTTGGTGTTTGTTGTGTGTGTGTGTGTGTGTGTGTGTGTGTGTGTGTGTGTGTGTGTAGGGAACATAACAAATATGAGCAAGGTTTGAAATAAAATATAGGCTCATAAACTAGGGCTGCGCAATATATCGAAATGATCGGAATATCACAAATATGCGTATCGCTACAGCTTGCAATATTTGGGGCCATGAACAAAAGACAAAGAGAAAATCACTCACTGCTCTTACCTAAATAACTTTTGTAGCTTAAATAAGAATCAGTGCATATTGAATTCAAAGAGGACATACTAAGCAGTGTTTTATTTTTACAATAAACTCATGTTAAAATGATTACACTCATGTTAAAATGAACTTTTTATGTAATGCTCGAGTAAAACACATACCGTTCACTTTCAGAGGTTGTTGTAGGGGTGCTTTCTTATTAGAATCAGAATAAGAATGAGCTTTATTCACCAATTAAGTGTGCGCAAACACAAGGAATTTGTTGTGGTTTTACAGGAACTCTTGGTATATACATACATACAAATAACCATATATATATGACACGATAGTTATAGAAGTTCACAGAACTGACTCAGCAACAGCTGAGTAAAACTGTTTAATTTGAGCATGTGGCACTTTAAGCATTATCGTATCGAATATCGCATTATTTAATGAGTTATCTCATATCACATTTTTCTTCAATATTGCACAGCCCTATCATAAACATAAAATACACTAAGATAGTAATAGTAATATAAATATTTTTCACATAGCAGAGCATAATTATTTGAAATAATTTCACAAAAGCATTAAGAAATAAACTAAAGGAGTGTTTACTTTTTTACATCTGCATGTGTAAATGTATTTATTTATTCATTTATGGATGTGGAGGTGGACTTCTGTCATTCTGCAGGTCTTAAAGAGTCTTAATTCTCTTTTCAACTAATTAAGGCCTTAAAAAAGTTTTAAATCAGAGCAGAAAGTCTTGAATTCATGAAGTCATGGCATTAAATGTTGCATGCATTGCAAAAAAATGTCTTCCTCTGTATTTTTGTTTTCCAATACAAATATCCAAACGTCCATAAATCAAGATACACTTAATTGAGATGCAAATGTAAAATGAAGTCTTGAAAAATGGAACAAAATAAAGTTAGTTTTCATTTTGACCATGTATCTTGATTTAAAGGTGACATATCATGAAAATCTGCTATAATCAGTGCTATAATCAGGTCTCCGGTGCATCGACCAACCAAGGAAACATGAAAAAGATGAACTCAGTCACTTTGTTTTGGGAAGCCTTTTTCTGCAAGCGTCTGAGAAAACGAACACGTCTGATTTCGCTCCCTTGGTGATGTGGCAAAGGGATCTCATATTACCGCCCTTTAATCTGTAAATTTACACCCACGGCACCGTCATTTGGTTTTGCAAGCTCCTTATGCTTTCAAAATGCTCTCGTGGTATTTTGATGTCATACACCGATCGGTCTGCACACGCAAACAAAGCCAAAACCTAGATATTTTAGGCAATATAGAAATCCTGGCCAGGACACGTCCTGGGAAAATGGCACGTATGGTCACCCTATAATATGTCTCCTTTAAGAATCTTTAAATATTTGCACGGTGAAACAAGACAAAAACACTGAGGAAGAACATCTCTTTTTTGCAGTGTGAAGTACAATGATACAGTGTTTGGGAGCAGAGCTAGTTAATTTTTTTTTGTAAAATTAATTAAAAAGTGATGGAGATCTGTTGGAAGTTGTATTTTCAAAATCTGAAGTGTTGCCATGTCAACTTATTGTGAGTTGTAATACAACTCACATTGACATTAAGAGAACATATTAACAGTGTGTTACCCATCAAACCTGCAGAAACCCTGGTCATTATACATAAATTTACTATGACAGTTATATAATGTTCCCTTTTCTGTCTTTTGTTTGTGTTGTTTTACCAGGAGCGATGTGTTGACAGTTGTGCTGGCAAGTTAATAAGGACCAATCACCATTTAATGGGAACGTATGTGCAGCTGATGCCTGCGATGGTGCAGAAACGAATGCAGGAGATGGAGAGCAAAGCTGCAGAAGTAGCAAAAGCTGAAGCTGCAGCACAAGGAGGTGCTTCATCATTAGAAAATCCATCTACTGCCATCACAACAACAACACCAATGCTTGAGAGCCCACAGATACCTTCAGTTTCTAATAATCCATCAGATATAAAGACAAATGTCTCAGCTTTTGGACAAACACAATCATTGACAGATGTGCCCACGGTACCAAACGATTCACAAACCTTTACAAATGAGTCTTTAGAAGGACTAGTAGCACCATCACTAGAGATCTCAACATCTTCTAGTGTACCTAAAGTAGATGGAGGTCCCATCTTGAGTGCAGTAGAAAAACTCAATCTGAAGCCCAGCAGTGTAACAACCACATCAATCCCTGAAACACGGTCTGAAGAGGGAGCAGGACAGAGCCCCCAAAATCCATCTTGATCTTGAGACATGGCAGAGAAGATATGTCTAGGAGATTTTGTTTATGTTGCATATTCAGTCTTAACAGCCAAAAGTCACAAAAGCCTTTTAAAGACCGTTGATCATGGAATGGGTTTCGTAAATATTTAAATACCTCTACTAAAACAGTGAATAACCATGTACTGCCGGCTAACACGTGTCTTTTAATAAAAGTGCATGATAGAAAGATAATTTATTTGACTTCTTTATTCATTATTAAATCTGTATGTGGTATTTTTACAGTGGGGAATATGTGTATTTGATCCGCTGTTGATTTTGTAAGTTTACCCACTTACAAAGAAATGAAGGGTCTGTAATATTTATGGTAGGTTTATTTGAATGGATAGAGACAGAATACCAACCAAAAAATCCAGAAAAAACACATTATATAAAAGGTTAGAGACTGATTTGCATTTCAGTGAGTGAAATAAGTATTTGATCCCCTACCAACCAGCAAGAATTCTGGCTCCCAAAAATTGGTTATGTGCCCATGTGGAATACAGATTAGTCCTGCCACTTTAAGAAGTTACTCCTAATGTCAGCTCGTTAGGTGTATAAGATACCTGTTCACACAATCTGTATCTTCCATTCCAACCTCTCCCACTACCATGGGCAAGACCAAAGAGCTGTCAAAGGATGTCAGAGACAAGATTGTAGATCTGCACAAGGCTGGAATGGGCTACAAGACCATCAGCAAGAAGCTTGGTGAGAAGGAGACAGCTGTTGGTGCGATTATTCGGAAATGGAAGAAATACACAACAACCATCAATCGGCCTCGGTCTGGAGCTCCATGCAAAATCTTGCTTCATGGGGTAAGGATTATCATGAGAAAGGTGAGGGATCAGCCCAGAACTACACAGGAGGAGTTTGTTAATGATCTCAAGGCAGTTGGGACCACAGTCACCAAGCAAACCATTGGTAACACACTACGCCGCAATGGACTGAAATCCTGCAGTGCCCGCAAGGTCATATCATGGGATCAGATTCCTGCCAAATGTATTGTAGTCACGGATAAAAAAAAATAACAAGTGTGAAACCAAAATTTTAAAATGCAAGTAAAATTATATTGCACAAAATTAAAAAATGAAAGCAAAGTTTTCAGAATAGCAAACAATGGTCACGGATCAAAAAAATAAGTGTAAATCAAAAATTTAATAACGCATTTAAAAAAATAATAAGCACGAATCAAAACTTTAAACACTTAAAATCATATTGCACAAAACTGAAATATTAATGCAAATATTAACGAATTGCACACAAAATCATGTTTTCCTTGGTTCTATTTCTCTGAGGAGGAGCTGTCATTCTAGAACTAGTGGACCAATGATGATGCTTAAGCCCGCCTTGATTTACATGAAACTCTTAACTGCAACATTTGGAAGAAGTGCAGAACGTGGAATAAAGAGTGAAGGGAAAAACAGCATAAGCATACAAAAAATAAAAATATGTGCAGAAAATGTCTGAGAGCACAAAAAACAGAGAAATATAACCAAGGAAAACATGATTTTTGATTTATA